GTGTGTTCTTGCCTTAGCCTGGGCAAGCCTGGCCTCCTGGTTTAGGAAGCAAAGGTTGAGGATCCAGAGTCTTTATTAAAATTCAAACATCTATCTGTAAAGTGAATGGGAGCTGGGAAACCAGCATGGGACCCCCTGAATGTGGGTGTCAGTGAGGAGACCTTGGAAATTTATGGGGCCTCTTGTAGTGGATCAGTACTTATCCCTAGCATAGGAATGGACTTTGGGAGCCCATACCATATGGAGGGATACTCCCTGAGCCTAGACACACAGGGTGGGCCTAGGCCCTATCCCAAAGTATAAAGAAAAATTTGAAGACTTCCTATGGAAGGCCTCACCCTCCCTGGGGCGCAGAAAGGGTATGGGATAGGTAGGGTATTAGGGGGGGGAGGGGAGGGGAGAGAGAGGGACCTGGGATTGACATGTAAAATAATTTTCTTTCTAATATAAAATAATATACAGTCTTAATAAACAAGAAAAAATAAAGTGACTGGGAAGCCAGTGCCATCATGGATTCCTCTTTTCCAGGGGGAGATAAAAGAAACTCTATTGTGCTTTTGCCCTTTGCTTTGCTCTGTGTGTTGACAGTTCATCCTGACTGTGGTATTTCCCACACTATGGGAAAAGTGTCCATACACTTGAATTACTCTTTCTTTCTTTCTTTCTTTCTTTCTTTCTTTCTTTCTTTCTTTCTTTCTTTCTTTCTTCCTTCCTTCCTTCCTTCCTTCCTTCCTTCCTTCCCATAGTGATGTAAAGAGACATGCTTTTGATGGTAGACTTTTCCTTCTCTGTGCAGGCTGATAGACAACATTTATTCAAGTAAAAAAAATATACATTCTATTCCAGTTTCTGGGGCTTGAGTTACATATATCAGTTTGTAGAAATGAACAAAGGGAAAAATGTCCTAGAGGGAAATGTAACAGCCTCCTACAAGGCACAGATAAATCCTGGAGCATCTGTACACCAGAATAAGAGATGACTCTACAGTGGCAGAGAGTAGGCTTCTACATACAGACATGGGATGATCTCTAAGATACACCACCAACTGAAGAGAATGGAGCTGATAATGACATGTGTGCTATGTATTTGTAGATATACAGATTTATGTAAGAGCATGCAGGAATTTGCTCATGGCAGCCATCTCAGCAAAGACAGGCTGCTGCTAGGATGACAAGGTGTGAGAACTGTTTAGTTTCTTTCCCCTTCTTTGTTGGTTAGTTTCCCAAGCAATGTAAATATATTTCATAACAAATGGTTTTCTGTTAAATGTAAGTAAGCATATAAATTTTTCAGGAGGCTTCAAAGATATTATGGGAAAGCTATACAAACAGTACAAGGGCAGGAACTTTGCTACAGGTTGGAGTTGCATAAAACTATATACACATTGTCTATAGCAGTGTCCTGTACAAAGCAGATACTCAATAAATGCTAAGTAAGATTCATGTCTCCATTTCTTTTTTGTCTTTCCTATGGAGTTTTCACTTGGAGTTATTTGGTTCTCTAGCCAAGTCTCAAAGATGACATCATTAACTGCTATTTCTCCATCTCTTTTCTCAGACTCTGCCATTTTCCAGATGGAGCTCTTTCCTCTCACCTCCTTCACTCCTTGAAAATTATTTCTATTTCCCACTTTGACCAGACAGTCTAGTTTTCTGTGATATTTTTCTTCAGTTTGCTGGAGAAACACTCCTTCATTGATGGTCTCAAGGTGGTCCTATGTATGTCAGTAAAGTGACTCGACTCCCACAGTTCCTCCACTCAGTCCCAGTGGTACACAGAGAATGCTATCTGGCCATCTCCCATTCCATGTTGAATACTATGATATGAGTCTGATCTCCTTGGACCCTCTCTTTGGTTTCTTTGAAATCCCCCATGAGCCTCTTCAATTGCCAAGTCCACCTGTTTCCAACAGTCCCCATCCTTCTTCCTATTGTATATATCCCTGATAACCCTGCCTGAGGGGATTCACATTTCCCTAGTTCTCACCAGAGTTAATGCCTGAGAATTACTAGAAATGATATGTGCAAAGCATTCAGTTTTCTATATCACGACTATTAAGATGGAAAGCCCTAGTCTGTGAGCAAGTACTTGAAATTCATGGAATCAGAGCATACCAAAGCATAGACTCAGACTGTGAGGTGCATCGCTCCAGACCAGGCATGGAGGCAAGTCAAATAGATGTAGCAGAGGATCAGTCCCTAAGAGAAGAGTGGGAACCAAGGCTCTCCACTCTTCTGCCAGCATCAGTGCAAGCTAAGGGCACAACATTCTCACAGAACAATCAAAAAGAGCCAAGCAGTCCCCACTGTACCACTTGCTCAGGGCGGTTGGCTTCAAGCCCTGTCCCTTGCCTGGGCTTCATTTTCTGCACGTGCAGAGATGGGGCAGTAAAAGACCCGACTAGCTTTCATAGTAGGGATCATTTCAACAACTGACTGGAATTGCATGATGACTCTTGTAGAGTTCTCTCTGGTTCTGCTCAGCACCGTCATCGCCCCTCTCTCTCCATCTCAGTTTCTCCTCCACAACCAGCAGTTCGACCTCTATCCTTCAACTGAAGAATTTCTTAAGGCCCATGCCAATCTATCTTATCTGGCCATTGCTATTAAACAACACATTTCTGGCATACTGCAAATCACAGTAACAGAAAGTGGGGAATGTGTACAGAAGAAACGGAGCCCAAAGTTTTGTCTAGGAGAGTCATTTTCAGGAGATGCAGATGAGCCCATTAAATAATGAGTCTCACCAGCTCTGACAGCCAAATCAAGTGTGAATAAGTACCTTCCTACACTCTCAGGGGAGAAGGAACTTCAAAGCTTCTTTTAAATGTCAACACTCGATGACACTTGTAAGGCCCTAGCCCTCTCTCAACAGCTAGTCAATTGCAGAGCCTGTGGTCCAAGACAAAGAAGGAAAGCCAGAAAAAAATCTGGGAGATCATAATGTGAGGAGTGAGAATTATGAAATAATAACAGATGCATTCACATTTGGCCAGGGTGCGGATGCAATTCATACAGTACCCAAATCAAGATGACTGGATCTCACCCCAAGCCTGTGAGTCATGCGTGCTGACGGCACAGTACTTTCTAGATGGTGTGTAACAGTTGGTACTCTCTCAATGATAATTTTCTGCATTTTGGTTTTCTCCTTCAACTCTTTTTTCTTATCACCATCCCATTTCAAAGTAAATCTCCCAAGACAGTGTGGCCCTGAATGTTGTGTGTGCATCTCAGAGGGTACAGGTGAAAAAAAAAAAAACATTGCTGTGCTCTGTTCCTTGGAGCTATTTCTTTCAACACCCTGGGCTCTTCAAAGCTAGTGGCTCGTGAGGAAGCTTTCGATTTCTTTTGTGGGTTTTAACACTGAAATACCCAGAGCTCTGGGGAGGGAACTTTGGCGTCTCTTGCTTTGTTTATTTTCTATACCACAGTCTCTAAAACTTATAGCCTTGCTAAAAACAAGCAACAAACAAAACCAACAGCAGTAAGAGAGGCCTTGGAATTCTTGGGAGCATGGACTGTGGACATAACTGTAGATCTAGGCTGAGAGCCTTACAGAGATGATTTCTCTCTCCCTACTGTGAGGATCTGCCTCAGCTGGGCTTAAATCATCATTTCTCAAGGCCAGTAGTTCCTCTCTGCTCATTTGGCTCAAGAACATCTGGAAATTTTTGAGCTCATGTCCAGTTACATTCCTCTACAACAATTATAAATTAGTGCAGTTAGTTCATCTCTATTTCTCTCTTACAGTTCTCTGTTATGACATCGGTATATATGCATAGTTGTATTTATTTGCAGTTTTTACTCCCCCCCCCAATTTATCTATTCATTAGCTCCCAGAGCTGTTCCTCTAGGGGACACAGATTATAAATAAGAAAAGAGAAGCAAAGAAAAGTCGTTTACTCACCTTCTTCTGCACTACCAGGACCAGGATGATCGCCATTGCCACAACGAGGCACACCAGGGCGGTGGTGCTGAGGTAGAAGTAGCTGTGGCTTGTTGTTCTCCAGGGCCTCGTGCTTCTCCAGGGGCTGGCCACCGAGTCGGGTGGTATCTGCATGTCTGGGTCAGGGAAAGGGGCCCCGTGGCTGCTTGTTTGCTGCAGCCCTGGCTCCATGCTTTATATAGTCTGCCCCACATCACACCTTATCTCCTCTCATCTGATTTGATTCTGCCCTCAGCTCTGTTCCAAGAAGGATTTTCCCCCTGCATCCTGGATCATGTGACTTGGAAAAAAGCCTTCACCAGTTGCCGGATGGAGAAACTCTTCTCTGGGGGCGTGAAGCAAAGGGTGCCTGCAAGGGTGGGGGAGAGGTTCATTTTTCATCGCCCGGGATTAATTTGAGTGCAGAGAAATTGTAGCGAGAGTTGATGGCTGATGTCAGAGGGCGGTAGGAAGGAGATAGTTCCGCATGTGTGTGCACCAACCACTTCTGTTTCCTTTAGGCTCAGTCACAGAATGCCTTCCCGCTGGGACCCTGCACACTTAATTCTCCAGACTGATGGCACAGAAAAGCTTCCAGATTAGTCTCTTTGCTGGGTCCCTGGGAGACTACAATCTTTTGTCTGCAGTACAATGACTGCTGGGGTTGTCTGATAGTCAAGGCCTGCTGCAAACTTGGAAAAGCACCCTTTCTTGGGAAAGAAGAGCCCACAGTGTGGACATTCTCCTACCTGGTGACAAGCTGTGACTGTAGGAAATTTGAGGATGGTTTCAAAGATATGGTGAGAGAACAGGAATTTGGAAACAATTTACTTTTGAATTAAAGCTCCTAAAACTCTTGCTGTATGGTTTTGGGATCTGTTATAATTGCTGACGAAGCTGGCTTACTATAACGTTCATGTAAGAGGAAGAAATTGGTGAGAGGTCAGGACGGAGAGGCTGAAGGTATGGGCTGTGTGTGCATGTGTCAGGTGCCTGTGGGGTGTGTCAGGGTGCCAATAGTGCTCCATGTATTTGTGATAAGCTCCTGCATGAATGTTACTAGAATTCAACATTCTGGTTCAGGCACAGTCTTAGGAAGTTAGTGTAGTGGCTGACTTCACACTCATCACCACAGGCAGGTAACATTTCTTCTTTATAGAATGGAAAACAGAGGCCCAACAAGCATGAAAACTTTCTTCTTTAAACCTTGCCTTGCTAATCTATTGGAAGAACTTACTGCATGCAAACCAGCATGGCCTCAAAACTCTGCAGGGGTCTTCCCTTACAGGCAGAAAACCTCATGTCCCATGTTAGCCTTGAATAGTTCACCAGAGCCCTTGTTTTAACCCCCTCTGCCTTACAGTCATTGAGAAGATCAAACAAAATGATGTAACAGTGCTTCCTGAATGGGAATTAGCTTGGCAGCTGCTGTTGAACAATTCCTGTTAAACAGCCCAAGCTGCCCTCTGGGCCATGTCTGGAATTTAGTATAATAAATAGAGTCCCTGGGACACAGAGCTGGATCACATTTGTGGATATGAGCAGTCTTCATTTCAGAATACCTCTAAAAGCACTTATCACTGTTTCATAGTTGCCTCCAGATGTGGCCTTCAGAAACCTCATTTTCTTTTTCCCTGGGTGTTGACAGCATCCTTCCCTTTTGGTTGTAGTCTACCTCTGTGAGCTATGGGAGATACCAGAAACCTCAAAGAAATGCCATGCCCAACGCCAACCTCAGGATATTCTCCTTTCTGGCTCTGTGTATCTCTCATTGAGGCAGCTTAGACTTAGAAGATGGTCTACAGACCTTATCTGGTGATTTCATAAAATCAAAATCCATGGAGGTGGGAGAGTCAGTGAGGGATGAACTTATGAATAGCTTTCTTGGCAGGCAGTATCTCCATTTGACTGTCAAGGAAGCTGAACTCCCTTGGTCCCAAACTGAGCTTGGGTTTGGAAGACATAGGTGTCTACATAGTTTGCCTGATTTATATAGAGTGAGGTAAACTAGTAGTTTTGGGGGTGCGCTTGGTTGACTGGGGGAGAAGGCCTTGTCCTTTGCTGGGTACGGACAAGGAGTGGGTGGCAATCTGCCCAGAGCTGCTGAGAACTGGCTGCTCACTTGGCCCTCTCTATTTAGTCCCTTTGATCAAAATGGAAAACTTCTGATTGCTGAATGGAAGCTGTGGGTGTTGAAAAATAAAAAGGCTTTGCTTAAAGTTCAGGTCTTCCTGAAGGCCCGTGGGGTTGAGGAGGCAGTGGAAAAAAATGTTTGTCTTATACTTACAGTTTTGCATACTGTACAATGTCCTGGGAGGGAAGGCTGACAAGGGGAAAAATCACCCTTTGTTCTTAGAAGCTTCTGAACAGTTGAGATTTTCAGATCAGTCGCTAACAGTTTGTGGGCCAAATTTCACTTCTTTTGCTGTTGCACTCCTCTGCTCATGAAATTTCAATGGCTCCCTATTCCCTACTCCCATTGTTCTCAACTACTTTATTCTTCCCACTCTTATAGAATTTGGTTCAGCCACTTAGTAGTCAATTCCCTGTGCCAACAGGCTCCTTTCTATTTCTACTTAAGCCACATGATATGCAAATGGAAGGATCCTACAGAGTTCCTTATTGAGTGATTTTCAAATCCTTCTTGGAAATAAAACTGCAGAGGAGATGTAAAATGGAAAATGAAATAATAATAATAAAAAAAAGCAGAACTTGCTGGCCGGAGCAGAGGAGGGCCAGGCAGAAAAGCTGATCCTAGCTGATTGCTTGTTTTATCAGACCCAGAGTCATTACAAGATAAACAAAATATGGAGCACTGTGATTGTTTAGTGCAAAGAAGGAAATGGACACACTGAAATGAAGTGACTTGAAGGGTTGGGAGTTTGCTTAGTGATCAAGCGTGAGGACCCAAGTTTGCTCTCCAAAACCTACATATAAAAGCCGGCCACAGTGGCAATTTGTTTATAATCCCAGTGTTGGTGAGACAAAGACAGGTAGATTGGTATTTGCTGACCAGTCAACCCAGCCAGCCTAATCAGTGAGTTTAAGGCTACTGAGGGGTCCCATCTCAAAAACCAGTGGTTCTTGAGGAATGAACCTGGAAGTTGACAGGTAGCCTCTGTTGTGCACACACACACACACACACACACACACACACACACACACAGAAACACATGCACTTGTACCCCTCACATGAACATGCATACCACACACATCTTTTTCTTGAAATGGAGTGACTTGGTCCACATGGGGAGGAATAGAAACAGGCTTCTTTCCCCCTCTATTTGTTCTCCAGCTGTCTCTGCTGAAACTATGCTGGGGCACATTCAGGCTTCCTTGAATGTTTTTCTCACCTTCTCTGTCTCTGCCTTTCTAGTCTGTCTGAACTCTGGCCATCTGGCTTCATCTTCTCAGGTAAAACCTGCCTCCATCTCAGTAGCCCACCAACCCAGTCTCTATATACTCAAGTCAAGGCTATGTAACCTAATTATTTAATTACCCGCCTGGCTCTACTTATTTACAAGTACGTGAACATGTATAAATTTTGCCTACCTTATGAGATGATAGAGTCTCAAATCCACTATGTACATTCTTCCTCTCTATCTGCATGATTTAGAGATGGGCCTGTGAATGGTCAACCCTCAATCAATGATTGTCTTGACATGGTGTTTATGAAACAAGGAAGTTCCAGAAGGTTGAGTATACAAAAGAATTATGTGATGACATTTCTGCCTCTCTTGCTTTTAAAACCAATTTCTATGTCCCCATCTTCCTTACTTACCTGCCTAGCACCACTTCCATTCTAAAATGCCCTAGGGAGATTGTCCATTGGTGTCCTTGTGGTGTATTGGTAGTTGCTAAGATGTGATTCCAGTACTTGACACTGCGTTAAACCAAGGTAATCTCTTATCCTTTGATGAGTAAACCTCATTTTGAAAAAAGTAGGAAGGACAAAGCTGTAACTTCCACACCTTTCATTGCTTCTTAGTATTATTGGCTTTGGGAACTCCATCATACAAAGTAGGAGCACTTCAGTGGTGTTCTCTAGCTCAGCACTATCAGCATCAGCATCACTAGAAGAGTGAAGTTTAAAACCTTCAGGAGCTATTGAAACAGATGCTCCAGTTGGCATCAAGGAAGCCATATTTGGGAAAGCACCTCAAAGTATCCTGGGAGCATTTGACTAACAGTGGTATAATTAATAAGAAAGAACCTCTAAGGTAAGCTTTGGGCAGGTATACTACTATTCTACAATGTAGCTGTGAAAAGTGAAGAGGAATAAAGTTAGTTTACAGAGTTGTGTGGTTGGGAAGTGCTGGTTTGAGGACTGTTTTTCAGGTTTCTTTGTGATCCATCTATTTAATCTCATTTACAATTGTGATACCTAAAGCTACTATTGGTCACGGAGATATAGGTATATCTAGAACAAAATGGAGATAACTTTTGCATCTATAGTTTTCGTGAATTATCACTATGTAAAAAGAACTTTTAAAAAAACATGTAGTGTATGTAAGAGGCAATGAACTTACCTAAGGTATGTTTTAAGCAGCAAAGCACAGAAGTAAACTATCTTTTGAGAAGGAGGTGTCAGTCCCCTTAATTTGAGAGCCTTCAATCTTGCTGGGGCTAACTTGAGAAACTTGGACATTAGACTTGTGTCACAATGACACTTTACTAAGAATCATTGTGACTGAGATGATGAAAGGTTAGGAGCAAGGCTAATGAAATATTGCCCATGGTTAAATATGGTAGCTGCCTAATTTAGGCAGTAAGATTTCATTGAAATAATCATAAACATTTTCTTATGAACTTTCTATAGTTGTGTTTTCTATAATGGTAGAGATGAGTAGCTGCAATAAGGACATCTTAGTTCTTTACAATTTAATTCTTTACAATTTAGCTCTTTATAGAGTTTGCTGACCCCTGATTTAGAATACTAAAATGAATTCAAAGCAAAACAATCAAGAAGGCTTGGGGGAGTAAAAGACAGGTTTAAGTTTCCTTCATAAATCCTTGTGAAGGTTTATCTTGCTATCCAATACTTTCATATAATATAATTCTTTTGAGGATTCTGCCATTGTGGAGGAGCTGTGTGTACTGGTTGGCACATTACAAAAGCTGACTGTTGGGAAGAATATAGCATCTGAAAAGGGGGTGGGGTGGAGAACATCTGGTAGACACATCTGGGAGAC